TAAGCTATTCTGTCAATGATAATAATAGCCAACTATGGTATATAATTCCTAACCATGATGATACTAAAAAGCGAAAGAAAAACTAAAAAATATATAGTAGTGGTGATGACTAATAGCCATTAGTAATAGGCGTCTCAAATTTGATAAGTAGACAAAAAAGTCATAGTTACCAATTTTTTCTGTATGTTCCTTTTTCATTAGTTCGTGTAAAAATAAGAAGTTGACAGTCAAAGTAAGATTTTTTTTGTGTATTAAATTCAATAAATAAGAGTTTATTTCGAAAAAGCTTTATACAATCGAGATATAGGATAAACATATTATGAATAGTTGTTTTAATAGCTGAATTTGAAAGGAATATTTAAATCTTGACATAAATTTAATTGTCTTCGAAAGAGCTGTATTATGATGTTGCTCATGCTGTTACTACTCAAATTCTAATAGTTTGCGTTTTATTTTCAATCGTTTTTAGTCCAGATAATGTTGTCCAAGTTCTATTTGATCCCGATAAAACCAATGGTGCCAAAGCTGCTGCTTTAAATTGGATTAGAGAGCTTGCAATTGAAATTGTCACTTTGTATATGGCACGAAGTTGGGGTGATGATCTGCCAGCCGAAAGTGAACCTACATGGCGTCCGCGTCGAGTAGTTGATTTAGATGGACAGACTCGTTCAGATAGAAGGCAAAGACTTATTAGGTGGGATAGGAGAGGTCCAAATGAAATTTTTCATCATGGTTTTATACCTCACGTCACAAATGAACGCCCTTCTTTTGAGGAAACTAACCTATTCTCATATGCACAATCAAACGTCAGTTCATTTTTTGTATCGACAAGTAAAACGCGATTTTACCAAAATGGTACAAGAAGAGACGTGTGGACACCAAGAACATCTAGAATTAATACAATATATCAATATGAAATTTATGCACCAGGAGGTATTGATGTGAACGAGTCTTTCGGAAACAGGTCTCCATGGCCTAATCAAGAGGAAGTAGCATTTCCTGGAGGGATTAGGAGAAGATATGTTCGATCTGTAAGAGAGTTTAGGGATGGTCGTATACGGAGAGTATGGATCAATTCAGGGTTTTCGAATCTAACGGGCCTAACTCCAATAAGAACGCAACGTAAAACTCCTCAAATATTGTGGAAAGGGAAACATCCTGATGGGGATAATCAAGACCCATCAACTCTAGTGAATCAGAATCCCGATCATGATATGGCTGGATCGAATGGTGAAGTTATAGAAGATACATTTGAAAATGAGGAACACCCTAGGATTATTCCAGATGGTGAATATAAAATTGCAAGCAGCATCAATCGAAATGTAGTAGCAGACCTAAGTCCTGGTGCTGACTCACCTGTCCATGCATGGCAATGTTTTGGGCTGAATAACCAGAAATGGAATTTTATTTATGATGATGATAAAAAAGCATATATAATAACCAGCTCTGAAGATCCTAAAATAGCATTAACATGGTGGACACAAGATGGTAGAGCCGTTGGGTGGACTTTTGTCAATGAGCTTACACAGTATTGGCGTGTCGAACGAACAGAAGATGGATATGATAAGCTCAATTCATTACATGATTTAACTAGAGTGTTAGATTTGGATAGAGCTGAGACTAGTAATGGCAATAAAATTGTATTAAACCAAGAGCATCCTGGTAACACGCCTAACCAAAAATGGATAATTAGTCCCATTTATCATGGCACAGTTCAAGACGGTGAATATAAAATTGCAAGCAGCATCAATCGAAATGTAGTAGCAGACCTAAGTCCTGGTGCTGACTCATCTGTCCATGCATGGCAATGTTTTGGGCTGAATAACCAGAAATGGAATTTTATTTATGATGATGATAAAAAAGCATATATAATAACCAGCTCTGAAGATCCTAAAATAGCATTAACATGGTGGACACAAGATGGTAGAGCCGTTGGGTGGACTTTTGTCAATGAGCTTACACAGTATTGGCGTGTCGAACGAACAGAAGATGGATATTACAAGCTCAAAACTTTACATGACCCAACTAAAGTGTTAGATTTGACTGGAGCTGAGACTAGTAATGGCAATAAAATTGTATTATACCAAGAGCATCCTGATAATACACCACACCAAAAATGGATAATTAGTCCTATTTCTTATCAAACGGTTCCAGACGGTGATTATAAAATTGCAACTAGTATGGATGAAAATGTAATAGCAGACTTAAGTAATGACGGCGACAGATCCGTCCACGCTTGGCAATATGTGGGACTGAATAACCAGAAATGGAATTTCCATTATGATAATAATAAAAAAGCATATAAAATAATCAGCTGTAAAGATTCTAAAATAGCATTAACATGGTGTACCGAAGATGGTAGAGCAGTTGGGTGGGCTTTTTCTAGCCTGCTTACCCAATATTGGCGAATTGAACGAACAGAAGATGGATATTATAAACTCAAATCTTTAAATGACCCAAGTAAAGTATTAGATATGGCTAGAGCTGAGACTAGTAATGGCAATAAAATTGTATTATACCAAGAGAATCCTGATAATACACCACACCAAAAATGGGCTTTAGCGAGAATAAACACAGCTATTGTGCCAAATGGAGAGTATAGGATCGCAACTAAAATTATGCATACTAAGGTTATAGATTTTGTTGCGGTGACTTTCAATTTAATGATAACTGATAATTTTAATTTAGTAACATCCTATTGGCGATTGGAGTATGATACTACAAAAAATGCTTATAAAATATTTACAAAGAAATATGTACATTCCGGATTCTATTTTCAAAATTCTAACTCCGATCTCAAGGTAGATAAAATAGACAATTCTAGTGACTTAAGGTCTTATTGGACAATAGAGTACAATGTACGTAGAGGTGGCTATTTAATCAGGAGTTTACACACTCCAACTCAAGTTCTAGATTTGAAAAATAGTGGTATAACGCATGGCACTCCGATCGTAAGCTATTCTGTCAATAATTATAATAACCAACTATGGAATTTAATTCCTAGCTAGGCTATGCAATGAAAACGAATATATATCTGATTACAGACATATCTAATGATAATAATGAAGAATAATAAGTGTGAAGTAAACACACATATTTATAGATTTTTTATACAATATTTACGTGAGTGCATTGTCTTCCCCTTTTCCCTTTTGACCTTTATTATATTCATGAAATGAATGAAATCTTGTGGTTTTTAACGGTGATCAGATGTATATCGATGTATATCACTGATTCATACCTTTTTCCCACCAAATAAATTTTATAAAAATATTGTATAACTCAAAAGATTCAGCCAGTTTTGGCGGTGAATAAAATATTATTATTACTATATTATTATATTATTATTATTTTATTTTTTGAATACAAAGTGAACAGAATATTTTTTAAAAATATTGTTTATAATATTATCCGGATGAAAAAAACACTTTCATCGATAAAAAAAATACAATTAAAAAAATGTCTTTTTTCATTTTCAAAGGATGTATAAATTCCCGATGAAAAAGTGCCGTCAGCCGAAAATTCTACACAAATGGCAGAAAAAAATCCAGAAATACGTTTATTTTTCGTGTATTGTTGGTATTATTGGCATATTGCCCTCAGAAATTGAAAATTTTCATAATATTTTCGATTCGAAACATGTTCATGCATTTTGAATCTAATCAAATCAAAAGTTAAATATTGACAAAACACCAGACAGCAACAAGAAGAAAGTTATAAATGAGATGTGTTCAATCATTTTTTTGTTATCCATTTAAAAATTCAATTGTTATATTTGTTGGCAAATGGAAGCACTTCATTTGAAAGATTAATTATCGTTTCAACTCAACTCAGTGGGCAAAATTTTTCAAAGTAGTGTAAAATCGCAAAAATTTTTGGTGTATTTGCCCAATTTTGGTGTATTCAAGCAAAATTTGAATTATTTAACGTATTTTTACCATTTTTTGGTGTAAATTTCGGTGTATTAAATACACTGCGACATTTAGTGTAAAAGAAACCTTGAAATTAAATTTTACAGGAAAAATATACACGAAATTTAAGTAACGCAGTGCGTCACTATCATCTAGTGTAAATTAAACACGTATGGTATAAATAAATCACTGGATTTTGGAGCATAATATACACCACTACCGTAAGTAGTGAAAAATATACATCAGACTTTTGGTGTGTATACCTTACACCGAAAATAGTGTGCCGATTCAACCAAAAATATCCAGTGTAATCAATACACTGAAAAAAGGGAAAATATACACTGCAGCCATATTTTTGATAATTTTTGTCGTGTAAAGTATGGAAATATGGAGGACATGTTTGTAATCACATCTTCAAGAATATTAAAATGAATTAATTTCATAAATATTGGGACTTAAATTATTGCAATATTGCTTATCTTTCAATATTTTCATGATCTGAGAGCAAAACAATTTTTGATGTAAAACTGAAAAATGAGAAAAAATTGCAAATTTTCAAAAAAAGTATTTTTATTAAATCAGCATAATATCAAAGGCGCATAAATTTTAGAGGGGGTAGTTTCAAATTTCAGTCGAAGAACTACCTTCCGTTTTAATTTTTCGGGCATAGAAACGACAAAAAATCCAAAATATTGTAGTTTTACCGAGGAAAAATTATTAAATTTGTTGACTAGAAAAAATATACTTTTAACTTCTATCGAAAACTTGAAAATCTTACACCGTTCGTGATAAAAATATACCGAAATTTTTTACAATGTATTTTGGACAATGATTTTGGTGTAAAGTATTTACCTGCACACAAGAGATAAACCCCACAAATTATTTTAGGATTCCTATTAAAAAAATGAATTTGTTAGGTTTCCTTATAAAATCGCAATATTTTAACAGGAATCCTAATAAATTGGCGCGCCTAAACGTCAAAGCCAACCTCACTGTGTTGAAACAAAACATGTTTTATTATTTAAAGGTTTCCTAATAAAATGTGGCCATATTATAAGGAAACCTTACAAATTAATATTTTAATAGGAATCCTAAAATGATTTGTCAGGTTTATTTTTTGTGTGTGTGGTGTAATGGTATACATGACTTGCTATACACTATCAGTGTAATATATACACCATAAAAGTAGTGTAAAACTTCCATACAAAAGTGTCGACATAAAAGTGTAAACGATACACTAAAAAAACGGTGTAATGCGTTATTTTAACGCGTTCAAATGCCCACTGAGCAATAAAAGACGAAAAAGGTCAAGTATAGTAAATGCATTCCTATGCACTCGAAATGAAACCAACTACACGGTGTGGTCATCGATTACAAATTCATTGATAAAATTACAAACATTATTGTCGCATACAACTATTGATAAACAATTTAATGAGTATGGCATTCGATTGTATGCACCAATCGATTCAATCATTTTGATTAGGGAGGATTTTTATTGGCACGCCTTGTCAAGTATTTACCGGAAAATTTTGCATCCGAAGAGAAGGAAGGCCCAAGAGGTGGAGAAATTTTTCCAAAGAATGAATTTTCCGGCACAGAATGGACGGTTTCGCAATCGATTGAAACGATTCGCTTAAATGCAGCTTGGTTGAAACGTGACTTACCAAATATTACCGAATACTTGAGTTCATTCTCTAATTAAATATCGACGATTGGAACATTTTCTTTAATCTGAAATTGAAAAATTGACAAAAAAAAAACACACACACACCCATTTTCAATTTGGATTATGAACGAGATTTCATATGAATAATTCAAATACATGCTTATTTAATTAATTTTTTTATTCAAAATGGATATTTGCAAATAATCGAAAGCAAAAATGAATATAATGGTTATATGAGAATAAAAGATTCGAAAATATAATTTTCCGTTTTCTTATTTATTGAATTTAATACACAAAAAAAATCTTACTTTGACTGTCAACTTCTTATTTTTACACGAACTAATGAAAAAGGAACATACAGAAAAAATTGGTAACTATGACTTTTTTGTCTACTTATCAAATTTGAGACGCCTATTACTAATGGCTATTAGTCATCACCACTACTATATATTTTTTAGTTTTTCTTTCGCTTTTTAGTATCATCATGGTTAGAAATTATATACCATAGTTGGCTATTATTATCATTGACAGAATAGCTTA